GGCTAGGTTAGGTTAGGTTAGGTTAGGTTAGGTTCGGTTAGGTGAGGTGTTAGGTATCATCCCGCACTGTCTACGACGGTGAGCGATGATCTTGAGCGAGAAGATAATGAAGGAATTGAAAGGAAAAGGAGGAGAGAAGGAAGACCCACTAGCAAGATTGGCTTTCACTTGTCCGCCAGTAATGGTGTCGGGAGAGTAATGGTGCACTTGTGGCGCCTGTGTGTGTGTGTGTGGGAGGGGGGGGGGGTTACCTGAGTGTGTTGCTTCACCCACGCACTCACTCACTTACTCACGCACATCAGTGCGTCAGAGCCTTCAAAATCGCGGAGATGTTGGCAGACCTACTGTTCCGTACAAGGCAAATATTCTCAATGTTCCCTGTAGCTGGCCCGACTTCGCGGACAACCAGAACCTGGTAGTCACAACTCAAGGCGCTCAGCGGTCAACATTCCCTATGCCTGCTGTACCTTTAACAACCACATCACTCCATCAGCGACCATTCCTAAGCTGACTCGCAGTTTTAACACATTTACTCAACATGTTACACGTGAAATGAGTTCAAGTCCAAGTATGTTTACTGAGACAAGACAGAAATGCATCTCAAAGGGATAGAGTAGCTTAGGCTATTTCTAACCCCCTAAATGAGGACGTGTTCCTGAAGAAAGATTTAACGTGCTGTTAGTTCCTGTTGCATCCTCTTCCCTACGTCATTCTTACTTAGCATTCAATTTTATTATTCGTAATTGATAATAAATCAAAAGACTCGCTAAAAATCAGTTTCTAGGGACAGGCTTGAGATTAACTGATGAAAGGTAACAGTTCTTTGCTTGACCGGATCACACACTAGAAGGTGAAGGGACGACGACGTTTCGGTCCGTCCTGGACCATTCTCAAGACGATTGTGAGAATGACTTGAGAATGTCATTCGACTTGAGAATGGTCCAGGACGGACCGAAACGTCGTCGTCCCTTCACCTTCTAGTGTGTGATCTTGTCAACATACTTCAGCCACGTTATTGTGACTCATCGCCTGTAGTTGTTAGCTTGATTTAATTTGGATGTTTTGCACAGTTCCTAATGAGCCATATATAGTCTTAGTTAAAAATAATACGTGAGACAGAATGACAGAGAAAGAGAGACGGGCAGACAGAGAGGAGATAATAAATGAGGCCTTTCTCCACTTTTAAAGTTTCCTAGTCGAGCGGACAGCACGCTGGACTTGTGATCCTGTGGTCCTGGGTTCGATTCCAGGCGCCGGCGAGAAACAATGGGCGGAGTTTCTTTCACCCTATGCCCCTGTTACCTAGCAGTAAAATAGGTACCTGGGTGTTAGCTGTCACGGGCTGCTTCCTGGGGGTGGAGGCCTGGTCGAGGACCGGGCCGCGGGGACACTAAAAAGCCCCGAAATCATCTCAAGAAGATAACCTCGAGGGCGGCGACTCAGACAACTTGTGAACTATGTAGACGCTGGCGGTGTTGCCACCAATATTTAATGTTGGGGGAGGTAGGGTTAGGCATGCATAGTGTGGTGGCGTCTATTGAACGCCAATATTAAACGTAATATTAAACGCCTAATAAACCAATCTTGGGCTCTCGCCTAATCACGTCGGTTTTCTTACGGATTGTTGGTAAACAATCACCGTAATACACACATAAATCACAATAACGTGATGCATCACATGAACAAATCCACAAAGGCCGTGGATTGTTACTGAGGTTCGTAAGTTCGAACCCTCATCACGGCCCTTGTGGATTTGTTCATTTAATCACCGTAATGTTGGCGCGTTCAATACATCAGTCTCGATAGGTTAAGTGGGTTGCTTGGGCTTGTCATATTTCTGTTTTTTTTGTAAGGATTGGCGCTCAATTCTCCCTGGCCAGGACTCGAACCCAAACCAAATCTCTCTTTGGAAGCGGTTCGAGCGTGTTACCACTGCGCCACCGAGATCACTTCTCTTGTGATTACTATAGTTTTTTGCCATTATAAAGCGTAACTTAAATTTAAGCTAAATGTTTTTAAATTTGCGTCTACAAATGCAGCTGCTTTACGCTGCTATGCAACTGTCCTGTCCAGCCAGAACTGCAAAGATTCTCATTGCAACAGATGACCGACAGCTGGAAAGGCGGGGGCTTGTGAGCTCAAGCTCGACCCTTCAAGCTCGAATAATTTCAAGACAGTCACTTCTCACTGGAGCGTCACTTATCATTCTGTGGAGGTGAAAGGAATTATCAGGGGAAGGCATTACCAAGTTATTATGACTATATAACACTTGGAAGGGGTCAAGATAAGGATTTGGGATGGAACGGGAGGGAAAAGGAATGGTGCCCAACCACTTGGACGAGCGGGGATTGAACGCCGATCTGCATGAAGCGAGATCCACCATCCAGCCCAAGTGGTTCCGTCAGTGGAGCGTCACTTGGTAATGAAGACATTAAGCCACGTGGGCCGTGTCATTCTCCGCCTCTTGCCATTGAATAAAAACTGTGAATGATTCGAGGCTACGCACGTGCGATTGTTTACGCCAGCTGACCTCTGACCCCAACGTACGCATGTATGAATACCTAAAACATTTCTTGTTAGGAAGCCCGTGACTTCTTAGTCTAATGGTAAGACAATATCCACGTGGTCACCCATTCACTTACTCGCTTTACTCCAACTGACTGCACGAGGAATGAATGTTGTGCAACTTTATGTTATTATAATTTATTAAACAAGTAATTTATTATGAATACAATGTACTTGGCATAGTTGTTATTCTTCATAATAGCAGTTAAGAATAGTATCTGGAAACAATGGTGTTCCTCTCTCTTTCTGGTGGGTGTTTTGGGGTCAGACGGGGTTTTGGGGTCAAGACCCCCCACTGTGTGGGGTCCAGAGACAAGATCCCTTGCATCCAGAGGTCAGCGGGAGGTTCAGATCTGTATCACACACACACACACACACACACACACACACACACACACACACACACACACACACACACACACACACACACACGGGGGGCCTCGTAGCCTGGTGGATAGCGCGCAGGACTCGTAATTCTGTGGCACGGGTTCGATTCCCGCACGAGGCAGAAACAAATGGGCAAAGCTTCTTTCACCCTAAGTGCCCCTGTTACCTAGCAGTAAATAGGTACCTGGGAGTTAGTCAGCTGTCACGGGCTGCTTCCTGGGGTGTGTGTGTGTGGTGTGGAAAAAAAAATAAAAATAAATAAAAAAAGAGTAGTTAGTAAACAGTTGATTGACAGTTGAGAGGCGGGCCGAAAGAGCAAAGCTCAACCCCCGCAAAAACACAACTAGTAAACACACACACACACACGGTGGGATACGGACACAGGTGGAAACTTAGTACCCAGATGAGTCACAGAGACGTTAGAAAGATTTTTTTTCAGTGTCAGAGTACAATAGTTAATAAATGGAATGCACTAGGCAGTGATGTGGTGGAGGCTGTCTCCATACACAGTTTCAAGTGTAGATATGATAGATCCCAATAGGCTCAGGAATCTGTACACTTGTTGATTGACAGTTGAGAGGCGGGACCAAAGAGCCAGAGCTCATCCCCCGCAAGCACAACTAGGTGAGTACACACACACACATCCATATGGGACTCAAAAACTGAAGCTGAACACAAAGGCATCACCAACTATCACTTGGACGACCCGACAGGAGAGACAGCTTAACCCGCCACCCTGCTGAGAGCGTTACTCTTGGTCAGGAGCCAGATTCACGAAGCACTTACGAACCTGTACATCTTTTCTCAATTTTTGGCGGCTTTGTTTACAATTATTAAACAGTTAATGAGCTCCGAAGCACCAGGAGGCTGTTTATAACAATAACAACAGTTTATTGGGAAGTTTTCATGCTTGTAAACTGATTAATTAATGTAACCAAAGCCGTCAAAGATTGAGGAAAGATGTACACGTTCGTAAGTACTTGCGTAACTGCTTCGTGAATCTGGCCACAGGCGCCGAGAGAGAAGGAAAAGAAAATGGGTGAAACGGAGAATTTCACCACTTGTTTATATCTATAAAACAAAGGTACCATTGTACGAGAGATGCTGTAACTGATTGTTCCGAGGAGCACCTGGGAGGATGGTTTCCAGGTCAGCCTGTTCTCCTAAGGTTTCCCCCACGTCAATAAACTGTCGTACTGAAGTCCTCTCTCTCTCCTAACCTACCAGAGGCCATAAAACAGAAAACGGGACAGTATATCAATTTCGCGAGCCGCTACTATTTTCTAATACGATGATTTTTGGCCTTAGAGTATACAGCATGACCTTGCTTGGGTCCCAGTCCATCACAAATGATTATTATTAGTAGTATTAATTTTATGTTTATGTGAGAGCTTCATATCTTCTCCAGCACCTGGCCAGCCCCGGCCCTAGATACAGAGGACTCGCCTCTATAACGAACATTGTTTTATGTGTCATTACAGCCCGGCCGTTGTCGCTAATTGCACCATTTGTCGTTGTTAAGTGTTCCTTTAAAACCCCATGGTGGTGCGGGCAGGCTGTGGGGGTACAGATATGAAATACATAAGTGCTGTAGTATTTTGTAAAATGGGGAGGGGGTAGGTGGGGAAAGGAGGGGGGGGGGTAGGTGGGGAAAGGAGGGGGGGGAAGGACCTTCATGTGGTGGTGATGAGGTCCGTTGGGACGTGTGTGGGTGGGGGGTGGGGGGGGGGAAAGTATGGTGATGTATCATGAGTGGATGGTGAGGTCTCTGGTGTGGTGTGGTAATGGTGGAAATGAACCTTGATCTTAGCTGCACTGAGCTTCACGGGAGTTTTAATCCGATATACTAGTCTCTCTCTCTCTCTCTCTCTCTCTCTCTCTCTCTCTCTCTCTCTCTCTCTCTCTCTCTCTCTCTCTCTCTCTCTCTCTCTCTCTCTCTCATCGGCTTCCTTTATTATTTTAAATCATTCGTGGTCTGCAGTTTCCCGAGTAAGTCCTTGAAGTTAATGATCCGTCCTCTCGAAATACGATATTTGACCTTCCTCTTGTTAGTGAAGGATCCGCTTGGAGGACAGCCTTACGTCACACATCCGGCTCTGGTGGTGTGGTAACGACTCTTGAGAGCTCTGGTGGTGTGGTAACGACCCTTGAGAGCTCTGGTGGTGTGGGTAACGACCCTTGAGAGCTCTGGCGATGTGGTAACGACCCTTGAGAGCTCTGGTGGTGTGGTAACGACTCTTGAGAGCTCTGGTGGTGTGGTAACGACTCTTGAGAGCTCTGGTGGTGTGGTAACGACTCTTGAGGGCTCTGGTGGTGTGGTAACGACTCTTGAGGGCTCTGGTGGTGTGGTAACGACCCCTGAGGGCTCTGGTGGTGTGATAACGACCCTTGAGAGCTCTGGTGGTGTGGTAACGACTCTTGAGAGCTCTGGTGGTGTGGTAACGACTCTTGAGAGCTCTGGTGGTGTGGTAACGACCCTTGAGAGCTCTGGTGGTGTGGTAACGACCCCTGAGGGCTCTGGTGGTGTGGTAACGACCCTTGAGGGCTCTGGTGGTGTGGTAACGACCCCTGAGGGCTCTGGTGGTGTGGTAACGACCCTTGAGGGCTCTGGTGGTGTGGTAACGACCCCTGAGGGCTCTGGTGGTGTGGTAACGACCCTTGAGGGCTCTGGTGGTGTGGTAACGACCCCTGAGGGCTCTGGTGGTGTGGTAACGACCCTTGAGGGCTCTGGTGGTGTGGTAACGACCCCTGAGGGCTCTGGTGGTGTGGTAACGACCCTTGAGGGCTCTGGTGGTGTGGTAACGACCCCTGAGGGCTCTGGTGGTGTGGTAACGACCCTTGAGGGCTCTGGTGTGGTAACGACCCCTGAGGGCTCTGGTGGTGTGGTAACGACCCTTGAGGGCTCTGGTGTGGTAACGACCCCTGAGGGCTCTGGTGGTGTGGTAACGACCCTTGAGGGCTCTGGTGGTGTGGTAACGACCCTTGAGAGCTCTGGTGGTAGGGTCACACAGTGTTCGGGGGAACTAATAATTGCGTCAAGCAGACATGGACAGGATTGGGGAGTCGGGGCATGAGGGAGGAACAGGATTGGTTGGTCGGGGAGGGAGGGACACGGCTTGGGGGGGGGTGGGGGGTCTGGGAGAGGGGGGGAAGTGGGGGGGGTCGAGGCTTAGAGCTGCAAGTTGGGGGGACGAGGGGTCTGGCTTGACCACTGGTGTCAGTAGTGGGAGAGGTCCGAGAGACAGACACAAAACTCTTCAACTCAGTTCATAAGTGATCTTCAGTCCATTAGTGGCCATGGGTAAGGGGGCCGAAGACCCCACAGCGAGGGTAGTGAGCCGCCGCCCACGTTCCTTCTCGACACAGTTCTTCTCCACCCACTCACAAACGTGTTTTTTTTGTCTTACAGGAATGACCCACTCCTTATCCCCACCCCCTGTTCTCCCAGCTCCCCCTTCAGTACCTCTGCTTCCTTTCCGGGAAGCTGCCGATGGCTGGCTGGGTCCTCCTTCCCCCTGGCTCCCTCCTCACGTAGGGAGGTGAGGCGCTCCTGGCGTTGTGTGTGTGTAAACTCCTTTATACACGGCCTCCTTGACTTTTCTTTTGTGTATGTTGTAATAATAATATAATTGATATTCATTGTTTGCTGATATTCTCCCCCCCCCTCCTCCTCTCTCCCTCCCTCGCTCCAAATTCTTATTTTTTTTTTTTTTTGTAATTGTTATTGTGCGTATTGGTGTTGATCTCTGGGTCGGGTCACGGTGGTGTGTCGGGCCCTGTTTGTTGCAGAGTACCTGTTGCAGGTCTGTGTGATCTTGCCTAAATGTGCTTCCAAGATCAAGCGGTAGATACTGAACACTGTCTACCAGCTGTCTGTTGTGTTATGAAACACTTCTGTTCATTACTATTCATAAAATTAATCCTATAAGTTCGGTGCCTCCTCTCCAGGCGTGTTGAGTCATATCCTCACCCTCAACACAGACCTCTCCACTTTTTCAAGTTCGGATTTTACAATGAACAAATCCACAAGGGCCGTGACGAGAATTCGAACCTACGTCTGTGAGCATCCCAGACGCTGCCTTAATCGACTGAGCTACGACATGGTCAAAATGCATCTCGTTATTGTGATTTCTGTGTGTAATTCGGAATTTACCTGACATAACCGAGGGCCACTAACACTAGTGGCCTCGACGAGGACGCATCAATTTTCTCCTGGTTATTCTATCTAGTAGAGTGAAGGGCATGCATGTGAATGACGCTATAGTCGGTGGTTGCGCTTCTCTTGGCTGTTTTATTTCTTGAATACAAGTACACCGTTGCTCCCACACACAGCTCAGTCGATTAAGGCAGTGTCTGGGATGCTTCCGGACGCAGGTTCGAATCCTCGTCATGGCCCTTGTGGATTTGTACACCGTTGCTGCCTTCCGTGCCTCTGTCAGTGCTGGGGAGGGAATACTCAGCCACGAACTGTAAGCCAAACTGCTGTTGTAATGGTTATTTAATCACTGTGTTGATTCAGGTGTCTTTTGCTGGCGTGGTCATTATTTCTGCCGTCTCATGACTGCTAATACTGGCGCCTGGAACCGCTGACATAACTTACACTTTTCATAAAACAAAATCCTCGAAGTTTTCGCCATCTGGAGCACATTTCCTGCAGAGTGAATGTCTTATACTGCTTGTGAAGGTGTTTGATTATTATCGTCACAGAGCCTTGACTGAATATTTTGAAAGCTAATCTGCCAACTGGCTTGATGCATACTGATCTCTAAGCCAGTTTATATCCTTGGTACTGCTTCCAACAGTCACACACCTACATACAGAAAAACACACAGACACACACACACACACACACACACACACACACACACACACACACACACACACACACACACACACACACACACACACACACACACTGGAGTATGGGGCCCCAGCATGGAGCCCGTACCTTATCAAGCACAAGACGAAACTGGAAAAAGTTCAGTTATACTTTTTTAGTACCCAGAACTAAGAGGCATGAGTTACGAGGAAAGGCTGCGTGAAATGTACCTCTCGACACTAGAAGCTAGAAGAGTAAGGGGAGACATGATAACCACCTACAAAATTCTCAGGGGAATTGACAAGCTGAACAAAGACAAATTATTTAGCATGGGTAGAACACGAACAAGGGGACTCGGGTGGAAACCTAGTACCCAGATGAGCCCCAGAGACATTAGAAAGAATTTTTTTCAGTGTCAGAGTAGTTAACAAGTGGAATGCATTAAGTAGTGATGTGGTGGAGGCTGACTCCATCCACAGTTTCAAATATAGATATGATAGAGCCCAGTAGGCTCAGGAATCTGTACACTTGTTGATTGACAGTTGAGAGGCGGGACCAAGGAGCCAGAGCTCAACCCCTGCAATCACAACTAGGTGAGTACACACAATAGCTAGCCACGTGGCCACATGCTTGTATATACATTATTGTTAATGACAGAACAGAAGAGGCCTCCCAGGTGTTTATATTACACCCTCTCGTGCTGTGAAGCAAGGAGTTACACACATAGTAAATACTCTCTCTCTCTCTCTCTCTCTCTCTCTCTCTCTCTCTCTCTCTCTCTCTCTCTCTCTCTCTCTCTCTCTCTCTCACCTACAGGGAGCATCTAGAAAGGTCAACCAAGGTGGGAAGTGTGGGTCAACTTCCCAGGGTCACGATCACTCACCCAAGAGAACACCCTCCGGTCAAGAGAGAGTTGTTGTTGTGAAACAAAATTTTCTCTCAGTCTAGGTGTAATTGGCCAGGCATAATAATCATTGAACAAGTATATTACATACAAATGTATTCAGGCGACCGAGTGGCGAATTAAAACCCTTTGGGACCCCCCAAGGCCCACATATTATTGGGGTCTACCCTTGAAAATTGTAGCATAACGAAAACTGATATATTGAACAATGTTGTATTGACAAAACTATGTTATGTTATGTAACATTCAGCCTAGAGGTGGGAGCCCCAGAGCTTATGGAAACCCCCATAAACGGGAAATTCGGATTAAAAAAAGTTCTAACAATCATTAATTCGTAATTATTGCCACAGCTGTTATATGGTTTGTTAATTAGCATATATTTCTAACTGGAAGCAAGACAGATATGTTCAATATTGATGGACGTAAAGACTGCTAGGGTTCGCGAACCACCAGGATTCGCAGGAGGGTTTTCTGGGGTTCAGGGGTGTGGAGGTCTGGCGAGAATCTATACTAAGAGAACGATAGTTATGCGAGTCTCAGTTAGATCTGGCTACAGTTACATCATCTTCATAAGTGTTAAGTAAAGCACACTAATTTACTACTACTAGTGTCCCCACATCTTGGTCCCACTTATACTTACGTCTAATAAGACATTTTCATGTCTCCAAGGTGCATACAACAACAAAAAGCCTGGGGCCAGATTCACGAAACCACTTACGAACGTGTACATCTTTCCTCAATCTTTGACGGCTTTGGTTACATTTATTAAATAGTTTACAAGCATGAAAACTTCCCATTCAACTGTTGTTATTGTTATAAACAGCCTCCTGGTGCTTCGGAGCTCATTAACTGTTTAATAATTGTAAACAAAGCCGCCAAAGATTGAGAAAAGATGTACAGGTTCGTAAGTGTTTGCGTAAGTGCTTTCGTGAATCTGGCCCCTGGGATCTAGGCAAAATATAAACCCGAGGCACAAAACAGACAAAAATATACTGAAAAATATTGACAGCCAAAACCCAAAAGAAAGACCAATTGTCACGGACTCAAAAACCAAAAGAAAGACTAATTGTCACGAACTCAAAAACCAAAAGAAAGACTAATTGTGACGGACTCAAAACCAAGGCGCCCTGAACAACAAACAAGAATGCAGAACAAAATATATGTGAAAATATAATCAATACGAGACATTATATACACACGAACCTCAATATAATTCCATGCACATTGAAGAATATGACGTACCGAGAACGGAGGTGTCCTCTTCCAGTTCGACGATGACCCGGCCGGAGATGAAGTGACCGGGGAAGTAGAGGAGATTCGGGTTGTCGAAGAGAATGATGAATTTCTGAAGCTTCCGCGCCATCTCTCGTCGCCTCACAGCACCACCACCAGAGAGAGAGAACACAAACACACACTACAGCTAGACACAAACAGTAGACTCCAGCAGCCCAAGTGAACGGAACACTCTCACTCTCTCTCCGCTACTACAGTGATCACTCCTCCAGTATCCAAGGTTGCACTTATCAGCGCCCTCGGTCGAGCTCCCTTGTATCTACTTGATATACCGATGTCCGTGTTTAGTCAACAGGTGAGCTGTGCTTTGCTGTTATACTCACAGCTGCATTTTGATTTGTTGCGTTCCTGTTTAACGGAGAATAAATAATTTAAATATAATGGCCTGCGTTCTGGTACCCCCAAACGTACACGGTACTATGGCCACCTCACCATTGATGGTCTATTCAATGGTGAGATGGTCATTGTACCGTGTACATTTCGGGGTAATCCTTGGCGTCATGGGTTCGAATCCTGACCTGGTTATTTACAGTTCTTAGTGATCTATGGCTTGCGCAGTCTTGCAGCCTTTCTCATATATATAAATTACATTGTGATAGTATTTCTGAAAATGGGTTGAAATATCACGAAAGCGCTTGAGTATGGGGCACATTTCCTTTCACCTAATGCCTCTATTCACCTTGCAGTAATAAGGCACCCGTGCGATAGGCAGCTGTTGTGGGGTTGCCTCCTAGGCAGGGTTAGAAGTTCGACCTTGAGGGACCTTGATACAAGCACAATACACACAGGCTTCCTGTCCTCGACAAAGGTAATTAAATTTAATTTGGAGGTGAAATGTACACAGGTGTGAGGGTTCCCGCCAGGTAAACTATCAGGAGAAAGCGTCATGCCATTACGACTATATAGCACTGGGAAGGGGTCAGGATAAGTATTTGGGATGGGACGGGGGAAAGGAATGGTGCCCAACCACTTAAACAGTCGGGGATTGAACACCGACCTGCATGAAGCGAGACCGTCGCTCTACCGTCCAGCCCAAGTGATTAGGCTGGCATCCGAGGAGCGGGTTTGATTCTATCATAAGCCTTCAATATTTTCACAAAATTGTGTAATAAAGTTAAAAAAAAGTGTTTGAGAGGTGGTAGAAGACAATATTTTAGTGCATGTGTGGGAGCCTAACAAGGCTTCCCTCGGTTGTCATACATTCTCTTCTCCGAGACGAAGAGTCCCTACAAGTACATTTTTTGTGTGTGTGCGTGTGGCAACAATGTTTACTTGTCTAATATGTTACAAAGGATATACATATGCAAACGTGTTGCATAGACTTGGGACAACCAGAGCAAACATGATATTTTAACTGCTCGACAATTTCACTTCATATATCGCCCTTATTTAAATAGACTAATTAGGACAGTCTCTCAGGGGTAAGTGGGACGCACTCGGCAAGAGTCACGAGGGGAAATATAAGAACAAAGCAGGAAGGTGAGTACCACGGTTACAGCCCCGCTCCTATTAAGGTAAGTCCACTACGGGCTCACCATAGCCCGTGCTACTTGCCCCGCTCCTGTGCCAGGTAAGGCCACTACGGGCTCACCATAGCCCGTGCTACTTGCCCCGCTCCTGTGCCAGGTAAGTCCACTACGGGCTCACCATAGCCCGTGCTACTTGCCCCGTTCCTGTGCCAGGTAAGTCCACTATGGGCTCACCATAGCCCGTGCTACTTGCCCCGCTCCTGTGCCAGGTAAGTCCACTATGGGCGCACCATAGCCCGTGCTACTTGCCCCGCTCCTGTGCCAGGTAAGTCCACTACGGGCTCACCATAGCCCGTGCTACTTGTCCCGTTCCTGTGCCAGGTAAGGCCACTACGGGCTCACCATAGCCCGGGCTACTTGCCCCGTTCCTGTGCCAGGTAAGTCCACTATGGGCTCACCATAGCCCGTGTTACTTGCCCCGCTCCTGTGCCAGGTAAGTCCACTATGGGCGCACCATAGCCCGTGCTACTTGCCCCGTTCCTGTGCCAGGTAAGTCCACTATGGGCTCACCATAGCCCGTGTTACTTGCCCCGCTCCTGTGTCAGGTAAGTCCACTACGGGCTCACCATAGCCCGTGCTACTTGGCCCTCTTGGCTCCCGGTAGCTGGTACTAAAACAAGAGGCGGTAAGGAAGCGCCAGGGGACAGGTGGTGTTGCCTTGTGAGGCTACATGAGCTCCACCCTCATACCCTGCCGCACCCTCACACATGTCTCATAACTCATAACCTCACTACACGCAACATTTCCTGGGAAGTGGTAACCCCCGGGCCGAGTATAGTCACCAGGGACCCAAGTAACAGTCGGCCAAGGTTTGATTGTATCGGGATTCGAACTGGTGATTGCGAGAACACCTCGACACCTGTGATATAATGCACACAGCACCCTGGGACGAGGAGTTTTCTCTCGCTTGCTCACTTCACTAACGAAACACGTCGTAATATATATGATTTATATATATTTTGGTATATTATATTTCTCTTATCATATGTTGCTTTCACTGTATTCGGCATTTTTCACGATTTGGCTCACATCACAGGTGAAACGAAACAGGTGGTTAAATACTAGTGAGGTGAAGTGAGGAGCGTTTCCCGCACACACCCGACCTCCACCAGTGTCTCTCACTGTCTGGCGCCGGGGGGCGTGTGGTACCTGTTGGGGTGGGGCGCCCCCCGCCCCCGCTGGCCTCCCCCAGGCACCCTCCCTCCTGTCACCCACCTCTGTTGTCACCCACCTCTGTTGTCACCCTCCTCTGTTGTCACCCTCCTCTGTTGTCACCCACCTCTGTTGTCACCCTCCTCTGTTGTCACCCTCCTCTGTTGTCACCCTCCTCTGTTGTCACCCACCTCTGTTGTCACCCACCCTGGTCGTCACCCACCCCTGTTGTCACCCACTCTGGTCGTCACCCACCCCTGTTGTCACCCACCTCTGTTGTCACCCTCCTCTGTTGTCACCCACCTCTGTTGTCACCCACCTCTGTTGTCACCCTCCTCTGTTGTCACCCACCTCTGTTGTCACCCACCCTGGTCGTCACCCACCCCTGTT